TTTTCAGTCATCTCTAAAGTCAAAGAAGTCACTGGACGACATTCCTCTGTGTGCGAAATCCTGATTATCTAATTTGAATGACTAAATCCACAACAAGACAAAGAATACAAAGAAACACCACATCTTGAGGAGGCTTGTTTTAACTAAGCAAATAACTTTGAATGAATTTCTTCTGGAGGCTGAGTCATTAGTACTGAAAATTTGCTCAATTATAGTACTCCACTATACACCAATTATGGCTGTTTTGTAGTTATGAGGGATAATGTTTCATGATTATTTTAGGTAAAACACAAACTGAACTACCTATTTATCCCACTTTACAGGAACAAGTGAGTTGGGATAGGCGGATAAACGTGGTCACGTGAAAGTTACCAGGACACCACTCTCAAAGAGTTTTCTTATAAGAGTACTGGTAACAAGCCTACTTCCATGTAAATTATTTTTAGTTCAGATGTAGGATTTTCATTGAATTTCATGGATTCTCTTCAACTGTCTGCATCCCAAACAAATCAATTATAACATATTACAAAATTTCTTAGCATACTTTTTATGATGAATTCAAGCTATAGGTAGAAAGTATAAGCAACATAATTTAGTGTTAGTGTTAAAAGAGTAACTATCTACACAGTAATTACACAAAGGGTTGAAATTCAGATTTCTCTTGCAAACATAAATGGACTAGAGACAAAATACAAGATAGCATTGTATTAATATTATTGGATTTGAAAATTTGGATCTTATTTTTCATGCTGAGTGCTTATGATCTCCATACAAACTTGAGAGTAATGAAAGCTTGCCTTGCTTTCCTGATCCTTGCTTTGATATCCTATTCAGTTCTGTATACTTTTAGTTGAAACGATGATTCCCAGATGGGTAGGTAAAGGAGGTTGCGTCTTTCAGATTTCTCCCATTTATGCTGGCTGATTGTTGTCTGTTGTTGTTGATGTTGTCATTGCTGTTGGCCAGGCATCTTCATCACATCTGTTTTCTCTGTGTTCACCTGAAGTTCTATCTTCGCTGGATGCTTCTTCTACCAACTTGTTGCTTTTCACTTGCATGTCTTCCAGTTTGTGGGAAATCACACATATATCATCGGCGAAGTCCAGATCCTCCAAGTTTTTTATGTGAGTCCATTTTATGCCTGATTCCTCGCTGCCTGCCACTGTCTGTCTCATTATCCAGTCTACTGCAAACAGGAAAATCATTGGAGATAGTAGGCAGCCAGCCAGCCTTGTCTTACTCCCGTCTTCACTTTGACGGATTCCATGAGTTTCCGGTTGTGGATTACTTGGTATGCAACATTGTCGTACAACTGTTGGATGAGATGTATAATTGTTGACGGCACCGCTTGATAGTAGCTAAGTAGTTTCCAAATCACCTCTTGATAGACGCTGTCGAAGGCCTTTTCAACAACAGAGTTAATTTATACATATTATGGTGGAGATTTGAAAAGGGCGGGGGTAAATAATGAAGTGAAATTATAAAGTGGATAAAATAATTTAATTTCGTAGATTTGAAATCTTAATATTGAGTTCAACTAAGTAAGTGAAAGTCAAAATCAAGATTAAGTGGAATGGTGTGCAACAGAACAAAAAACAAAAGCACATGGACAAAACAATTATGGTTATCAAGGTAGTGATAGATTAGTTACACTGTCTTTATATATACATACGTTTGGTCGAAGTCTTTTGATGGAAATGGCTTCTGCGAACCGAAGTGTCCATGTTTTTCTGTGTGTATTCATCATTCTGGAAGCCTGACTAATTTCCAGTGTATATCCAGTGTCATTTAGGTGTCTGGCGATTTTCTTCATTAACCCTGAAGCGTGGGGGATATCCATTTTCATTTAGAGCGTTCCTCAACAGAATGGTATCTTTATTTGAGAATTTTGAGCTACAAATTCTCTGGATATAATTCTCAGTAAACATTATCAAAGTTTCCTTTACGATTTCCAGGCATCCAACTGTAAAAATGTTTCATCTGATTGTACAACATGGGTTTTCTATCGATCGATCTCTTTATGCTTCTTTGTTAGTTAGTCTAGGTGAACGTCACTTGGACAACATTTATTATCAAAAACGATTTCAGACTGAGAACCATTCTGTAACGATAGAATACGATAGCCAAATTATTTACACTTTATCTTCAACGCATCATTTGCACAGGTCTTCCATGTTGTGCTACTTCTGGCCTTTATATTGTGTTTCTTTGTGTTCCTTTTAAGTCTCACATGCATCTTCATAACGTTACATTATTTGCTGTCTGTCTCCTATTTCATATTTTATGCCGACGAACATCTCTTTATATATACTACTGATAAGTCTTATAAGTAGCACATGGCATTGTCGTCCCCGTATCAAATAGTTACGAATAGAGCCTCTCCAACCTTTCTGGTTCCACCAATTCCTGTTGTACTCTAGTCTCAGCTTCCCCATCGCACTGAATCCATTTCTGAAGTTGTCTGGTATTAATCCGTCTCAGCTTACTTCCTCTTTTGATTGTATAAATGGGACCATATCTCTTGGTGACAGTTAATGGCCCCTTTCACTCCGGGAGGAGTTGCCGTCATCCTGACCCAAAGCTAACTACACCCTTTTTTCCTCTACACTCTAATTGACCGCCGACCTCAAATGTTATGGATCCCACCTTCTCTCCGTGTTCTGATTTCACGGCATCTTTCTTCTGTTTACGCCTTACATTCCTGATACCTTCTTTTCGTTCATTTCTCAGCCTCGTCCCATTTCGCTCCAGGTGTGTTCCCTGTGCGGATGTTTGATGTGCTATTAACCAAATGAAAGCTCTGTTTCCCAGTTACCTCTTCGAGGCCAGTTACTCCTTCGGCTTACCATTATATCTTTCTGTCAGACAATTCGTTTGCGCATGATGTGGTGTTGTTCCGATCCTCTTGATACTCAAATGTTGCAAACTGGGAGTGAATTCTTCCCTTTCAGAACAATGGCCCTGACCTGTCAATATCATCTTTGGTACAGCATGATCTGCGACGATGTATCGACCTACTGCGTTAGTTACGCTTTTCGCCCGTTAATCAAGGAACATGACGTTGTCTTACCATGGTGTGTCATGTCCTGTCATCACCAAGAGGTACTGATTGCCATTGGATGTCTGCGAAAACGGACCCATCGCATCCACGGACCACAAGTCACCTACAGCCGTAATCGGGATTGAATGCAAAGGCTGTTGCATGCACCGATTTCCTTTCATCAGCTGGCAATACGGATATCCAAGTGCATATTTTGCAACATATCTCATATCTCGCCAGTACGTCCTTTGTCTGAAGAGGTCGCTTGTTCTGGCCACTTCTGTATGTGCTAGATGCTGGCATTCTTGCATCATCTCAAAGCATAGAGACCGCCAACCAACTTCCATCGTTATCTCGCCAAGTCAGTGTTCCGTATGTGTTCACTCTTAATCGACCCCTCTGTCTGAGTATCGTATTCAGAACCTTACTCACTGTACTCTGATTCACTTCTGTTCCATTAGTGTTCACCTGTATGACTGTATTCAGGATAGGGTCTGATTCTCAACTGCGGGTGAGTCTTAATGGATCTTGCACTCCATAAACGATCTCCGATAACTCAGCTTCGTCTTCCGGTCTAGATAAAAAATCAGGCAAAACGTCTTCTTTGCCAGGGATGTACGAGATCATGAAGTCATACTTGTGCAAGTGAAACATCCACCGCGACAATTTCCCACGTGTTTCTCTCCGTCCTCACAAAATGTGGCAGCTTGTGATTAGTTTTGATGTGGAACCTTCGGCAGAGTAAATACAGACTCCATTTGTCTACCACCCATACTACTGCTAAACATTCTTTTTCCATCACTGAATACTTCTGTTCTGTATTTGCTAAAACGCGACTCTCTTAATCGAAAACTCCTTCACTCGGTCTAAGTACTGCGCCAATGCTAAAGTCACTCGCATCTGTACACACTGTGAACTGTTTTCCGGGTACAGGCAGTTTTAGTGTCATTTTTAGGTGATCTAAAAGCCATTTAATACTGTCTAATATCTTCTTGGAACCTTCCGACCAACCAAATTTTGGTCACCTAATAGTCCGTGCAGAAGGGTTGCTATTTCATTGAAGGTTTTCACAAACAAACTACAAAACACCTCTCTCACCAGGAACTGACTTAGCTGACATATCGACAGAGACCAACCATTTCGGATGATTCAATCTACGCGCGGAAATGATTTCGACTTCAAACGGTAACTTGTAAAAACATTCATACACTGTAATCTGAATACCGCTCATCATTATAAGATAATCCAGTCAACATTTCACTTCAGACTGTGCATTTTATACGGCCAAATTCTTAAACCGGTAAAATTACACTGGAATGTAGTCTCTCTCTCTTTCTGTTTGTGTATTCTTGTAATTTCTGCTACAAAACAAATCTGACCTCAGTCAGTATAATAACTAAACATATCTGATATTATTAAAATAAAATTAAAGAATGATGAATAGTTTTTTTTCTGGTTCAATTTTCAATGGATAGTGAAAATTTTGGAGCCAATTTTAAAGTATTAGTGGTACACGAAATATAAGAAGGAAGAAAAAAAAACTAAAAAGCAGATAGATAACTTTTGAGAATCCAAAATAATAATCAGAATAGAATTAAAATATTTATGTTTAGGAATAAAAGTATATTAATAATAATTTTATAAGCACCCTTATCATGAGCAGTGTGAGTATGTTTAGGTATGTGTGAGTGAGTGAGTGAGTGCACATGTTGTTGTTTGTATGTTCCGGTGCATGCACTCATGTGCGTACGTGCACGCATGCGCTGGTGTTTGTTTGTAAGAGTGTACTAAACTTGTATATATGAACCAGTTACAATAGAGAGCACATTGATAGATAAACTCACACACTCAGTGATAGACAGACAGACAGACAAACAGATAGACTTACAAACACAAGAGCACAATCCTAATGTGTTTTGATCATTGATAAATCAATTTAGACAATGCTTTTAAAAGACTGATTGATATAACCATTAGAATAACAACTACTACTACTAATAATGCTACTTTCATTATTTTAATTTGCAACTGCAATCACACAACACCGACGACAATACATTACACTATAAATTCGTCAATAAATGAGAATTATATCTTCTGTTTTACACACATGCACGCACACACACACAGCAATAATGCAAACCACAACCTCTATGCACAATTCATGCTACTTGCTGGAATTGATAATTTCACAAATGATAAATGAGTAATAAAGTAATTTATTTTTATTGACTTTTCAAATGAAATATATATGTATTCCTAACTCAGTTATGTGCATTTCTACAAAGACGTAAGAAGAAAAAAGGGAGAAGACAAGGTCGTCGAATCAGTGTGCAATTGAGAGTGTGTGGGTGCGAGTACATGTGTTCATTTGTGCCCCATTTTTGTTTTAATGATAATAAAGGAGGATTTTATAGATCTTATACGGACGACAATCAAATTTCCCGCTTCCACTTCAAACAAACAAAAACAAATTGAATGTTTAATCAATTTCAACAAAAATAACCATGATTCGTGATGATGATGTTGATGACTGTGAATGTACAAACGATACTAATCAGTGTAATGAAATCAATCAAATTAAACAATTCTACGGAAGTCATTTGAGTGGTTTAAATAACAGTGATTTTCAAATTGATGAATTGTCATCAAATCCTGAGAAACGAACAGATGTCAATAGGGCAAAACGTTCAAAATCGTGTGTTGACTCATCAAGTTATGTATCACAATTTCATTCAGGAAAAAAATCTGTTCCACAAGAAAAAGCACGACGTCTTGGTGTTTGGCGACCGGTGACAACATTTGTTAATAATTTACAATCAAAATTACGTAATCAATCCAATGCTCCAAAAACTGAACAGTTGACACGATTTGAAACTAAACCAAGTATCATAGATCATTTTGGTAAATTTGATGTTGGACATCCATCAGGATGTAATTCATCAATAGCTGATGTCTCTATGGAAGGTGAGTACAATTTCTATCCGGATATAATCCAGACATCAGGATTATCAATCAATGAACAAGATACATGTGAATATGATGGAAATAATTATGGAAATCGTGTCAAGTTTCTTCAATATATGGAAAATGATAATTTGTCTAAAACATGTACAGGATCTGCAAATACTCCAGTTCTTGTAAGACTTAATGTTAGTGGAACAGTATTCCATGTACGACATAGTACACTGAAACGTGATCCATTTGTCTATGGTAAAATGTTAGAAGATGCTATATGGGTTGCACAAACACGTGAATACTTTTTTGAACGAGATCCTGAAGTATTTCGATTTATATTAAGTTATCTACGTCGTGGTGAATTACATCTGCCTCAAGGAATGTGTGGACCTCTTGTAGAAAAGGAATTAGACGATTGGGGTATAGCACTTGGTTTGGATATTCAACGATGTTGTCTAGGTCCAGTTATGGAGAGTAAATCAAAAATGGAATCATTACAAAAATTTGAACATAAATTGGAACCAGCCTCCATTCGACCAGATTATTGGATACAGTAAGTATCTCAATGAAATTATACATTAGTTTGATTGAATTGTTTTTGGAATAATTGTTGAATTACTCAAACAGTTTACATCACAGTGTGGAGAAGACTGTGTGTGATACACCAAAAGATGTATTCACTCAGTTTCCACTCCTTTAAAATTGGAAAAACCATCAGCTGATCTGCATTCAAATATCCAGAGATTAAGAAATCAGTCAGAACAATACCAATCATCACTAGCTGTCCAATCACTATTTCAGATATAACTTGTCATCCAAAGCTGTCTACCACCAGTATCACTTAGTGTTAACATTCTCTGATTGCTTGAGTTACACACTGACTCAAATTTAAAAATTACTCCGGATAATTTCTGAGGAGATTTAGTCAGTAATCATCATCGTCATCATGGATTAGCAGAAGTTAGAAATGAATTAGCTACTGGATTCTGAGTCATTTCTGAAAGATAAACTGCATGTCTCGTGATCTCGACTCCCAATGACATCATAGGTATCGATTTCTGAAGATCCTTAAAACAAAGATGAGTCAGTAACTCATCGAAGAAGACATTGCGAAGTGGTTGCGCCATGTCATGAATTGGTAGAAGTTGGAATTCATGAGTTATTGGGTCAAGTCCCAGTGGTTCAATGGTCTACGAGCTCGCCTTGTAACCAGAAGGTCCTAGGTTCGAATTCTGTCTGTGGGTGCGCACTGATGAAGAGTCCCAAACTAGGCTGACGAAACAGCTGTCTAGTATTCCCTGCAGGTTTTTTAATGATTCGCTAACTGATTTCAGCTCATGATGAAATTCTCCATCCAATCAAACAAAATCCCTACAAAACAAATACTTGAAAAAACAGAAGATTTGTGCGTTTCTTTCCAGTTTTCAATGATTTTCTGTATGTGATGAACTTTCTCTGAAAATCAAAAAACTCCTTACAAACTAATAATCAACCATCTTGATTTTGTCTAACTTCGAAATGACCGCACTAAGCTGTTAACGTAGAACACTGCAGTAAAGTGTTAGCATTTGAAGTCACAACAAATCATAAAACACACATAAATGCTGACTGCAGAAAATACAAATTGACAGAAATGTAGGACGCAAAGTACAATTACATATAGAATAATGGGAACTGAATGAATCTTAGAATTCGTGAAGGGTGAATGACTCTGCTCCACTGAAAAGAGACCCAAGCCACTGACTGTTAGAGACCCTAGAACTTAATTCAGACATAATAATATATGCGTAAAACTTGAGCACTGTGGTAGTAAGTAATTCCATATTACTTTGTTTATTAGATATATCACACAGTGAGGAAACAGTATTATTTACTGGATGACACAGTTTCGAACAAAATTTTTTGTTCATAATCATATCAATTGTAATCACACGACTTCGAAACTTGAGTCTTATAGTTTTCTTTGTTCTCTCCATTTGTCGTAGGGGGAGTAGAATTTTCCAGATATCTGGGACAGGTGATGAATTATTCCTATTACATGTATTTGCAGTTAATTCAATAAACAAAGCTTCTGTTATCAATCTCTCCCTATACCCTGTGACATTAGATTTTAAAACTGTCATCCTATCCCATCCTATTGTATGGTTGTGTGTAATTGCATGTAGTGCTATAGCTGAACTATTCTCTAGATTTCTTATCTTATTCGGGTCATTGATATAAGAATAAAACTTGGGCACTGTGGTAGATTGTAATTTACTGATACAGTAAATATTACTGTATAACACTGTGAGACTCTGTCAAAATAAAATTTACCCATAATGGAATTATTCGGGTCAATCAATCTAGATTTTGCTAAGTTTTTATGTTCAGCTAGTCTGACTGCCCCTGTTCTACTAGTTTGACCTATGTACTTGACCTGACAACCATTGCAGGGTATTAGATAAACTAAATTGTTTTGTTTTAAAGGCTCTATAGGATCCTTTAGCCGACAAAGCTTGTTTCTAATTGAGTTTGTGGGTTTGAATGCCGTTTTTATTCCTGCCTTGTTAAGAATTCTGCGTAAAGCTTCTGAGGTTCCTTCCTTGTATGGAATTACTACTGATGATTTATATTCCTTATAGTTGGTGTTGTCATGAATATTATCATCACTATTATCATTATCATTATTATTGTTATTATCACTATCGCTATTATCATTATTTATTTTATTTTTACATTTCCTTACATATTTCCTGACTAATTTATCAGTGTAATTATTAATTTGCAAAGCTTCTCTTATATGCCTCACTTCCTGATTAGATTTTCCTTGTTACTTCTTAGTTTTTGTATTCTATTATTTAAACATTTCATCAATCCTATTTTTACTGACAGAGAATAGGATGATTGGAAGTCCAAATATCTGTTTGAGTGTGTGGGTTTCCTGTAAACACTAGTGTTTAACTTCCCATCTTCTTTCCTTTTTACGTTGCAATCTAACATTGGGAGCTCCCCTCCCTGATTTTCCAATTCATAAGTGAATAATAATAATATTAATGACAACACCAACTATAAGGAATATAAATCATCAGTAGTAATTCCATACAAGGAAGGAACCTCAGAAGCTTTACGCAGAATTCTTAACAAGGCAGGAATAAAAACGGCATTCAAACCCACAAACTCAATTAGAAACAAGCTTTGTCGGCTAAAGGATCCTATAGAGCCTTTAAAACAAAACAATTTAGTTTATCTAATACCCTGCAATGGTTGTCAGGTCAAGTACATAGGTCAAACTAGTAGAACAGGGGCAGTCAGACTAGCTGAACATAAAAACTTAGCAAAATCTAGATTGATTGACCCGAATAATTCCATTATGGGTAAATTTTATTTTGACAGAGTCTCACAGTGTTATACAGTAATATTTACTGTATCAGTAAATTACAATCTACCACAGTGCCCAAGTTTTATTCTTATATCAATGACCCGAATAAGATAAGAAATCTAGAGAATAGTTCAGCTATAGCACTACATGCAATTACACACAACCATACAATAGGATGGGATAGGATGACAGTTTTAAAATCTAATGTCACAGGGTATAGGGAGAGATTGATAACAGAAGCTTTGTTTATTGAATTAACTGCAAATACATGTAATAGGAATAATTCATCACCTGTCCCAGATATCTGGAAAATTCTACTCCCCCTACGACAAATGGAGAGAACAAAGAAAACTATAAGACTCAAGTTTCGAAGTCGTGTGATTACAATTGATATGATTATGAACAAAAAATTTTGTTCGAAACTGTGTCATCCAGTAAATAATACTGTTTCCTCACTGTGTGATATATCTAATAAACAAAGTAATATGGAATTAATTCAGGCAGTTTACACCTCAACCATACATAGTTCAAACGGACAGTTAAATAGCAGTTGTCAATTTACGGTCGATGGACTATGCTGACATCAAGAAACGTTTCTCTTCTTAATCAAGATATTTAGTGGTGCATTATTATTATCTTTGGTATTGTTCTCTTGCGTTCCACGTGGAACAAAGGGCTTCCATAGCAGATCTCCATTGTTTTTTCTATTCTCCGAGGTCCTCTTCAGCTGCCTGGCCCCACTAGTACCCATTGTCTCTGATCTCCTACTCACACGATCTCCTCCTTATCACCCTTGAACCAAAAGCCAACTTATTATTTCCCATTCGGGTTCCACTCAAGCGATGGCCTTCTAAGCCTGCAATGTCATTCAGTGGTCTCCTCAACGTTTGTCCTATCCGTCTCCATTTTCCCCAACATATTTGTTGAGCGATAGGTTAATGGGCGGTTTTTCCCATAGTTTCGTGTTTCTAATTTTTTCTTCCCATTTGATCTTCATATTGTACTAGTCTCTTTTTCCGTGTATGCACTCCACTATTTAGCGACTGAAAAAACTTTTAATTGTTGTGAAATATTACAATAGCAACTCTAAAGCTTCTAAATGTTACTTTTTATATTTTTAACTAGTCTACACTCATTTAGGCGGTCACCTCTAGATGCATCGGTGGCACAGTGGTGAGGATGCTCGCCGACTATTCCCGTGGCCCGAGGTTCGATCCTCGGCCGACAAACTCCTTTACCTCGCCAAGCCAGAAATAAAGCTGGCAAAGAGGCAAGGTTGTACATGAGGCTAGCAACCCCATTCCGTAAAACTAGACATTGCTATAGAAATTTCAAGCCTTTAGCTTGAATCCCTGAGTTCCATTGGGAATGTGAAGGAATAAAAAACACCTTTAGACAAAGCTTGTCTTCATCGTTATAAACCTTGTTCAACTCATTCAACCTTTTTAATCTTCTCAATTCTGCGGATTTACGGTAACCTTTTTGGGATTATGTTTTCCACACAAGTCTATTGAATGGTGTATGAATTTATTTCCTTTTAGTCCCTGTTTACGCTGTTGTTTTGAAGTGTGTCAAATTGAAGGAATTCAAATCAGTATAAAATCGTACGTTATTTCGTCAATCAGTTTTTCTTGCTTAGACGATAAATTCAAATTTTATGTTTCAACTAGTTTAACTTCAGATTACTTCATGAGGTGACGTCAGTTAGACAACCACATAAAATTGAAGAGCACTGGACAGATGTCTTCTTCCAGTTCAGGAATGTTCATCAGTGTTCACTCGTGACCATAACAGGGATTATGCCTAAACACTTTAGATTACAAGATGAGCTAGGTGATGTGATTTCGTCATGAAACCTGCCCTGAAATTAATTTTAATCCTCACGAAACCGAAAGTCTGAATATAAGTCGCCTTTGCATTATTGGCTACAAAATGGATTTCGTGGAATTCTAAGGAGAAGTCGTGACTGGTGGGGTTCAGCACGTCGTCTGTGAAGCAGATGCTTAACGGTAGTACTTATTGGGAAGTAACGCTATGCTGAGTGTAACTGCGGGACATTATCTCAGTGGATGAATGGTTAACGTGTTTATCACGTAGACTAAAGGTCTTGGATTCGATCCCTGACTGGGTCGTGGTTAAGGATTACAAAACAAAGACGAAACAGCTCTTAAGTACTCCTTGGTTTTCAGTTGCTT